TGAATTTTATCAATACGTCCTCCCAGTTGGTTGAGGAGGTTATTATTGAAACAGTGTCGGACATCGTTATTTCCCCTGAAATATTTCTCAAAATATATCCTAGTGCCTGTTGAATCCAGTTTTGTACTGCTTTTGATGCTGAAAATTATGATAATTCAAGGAATTTATGGCAGAGCCTTGTGTTGTGTGTCAAGAAGTTGTAGTTATTTCAACACACAGGAAATGAAGGGTGTATATAATGTATGTGTGGACATATTGATGTGGTGATATGTTAAAGTGGTCATGTGTTGACATGAACACCACTATTTGCAGTATTTGATTATTGTACTAGTGAACATCAGAGAGAGCTCTGTTGCAATAACTACCAGCTGAGTACATTGATGGGCCCACAAACGAACTCAGATAATTTTAATTACTTTACATGTATATCCACTAGACACTGAAATGCTGTAGAGCAAAAGCACAACTATTTACTATGACGATTTCGTACCATATTTTTTGCGAAGGCTTCCCAACTTCAAGGGTCAAACCAAATTTAGCTCTTTACGCAACCTTTTCCCAAGCAAACACTCCCTTTCTTCAATGAGGCGAAGAAAATACAAAGTAGCATACACACAAAGTCCACATCACTGGAGAAGGCTCTGTAATTGATCAAAATGGTACGATAAAACAAAAACAAAAACAAAAACAAGAAAAAAAAAAAAAAAAAAAAAAGGGAGAAACGCATCATCAAGTACATTGGAGAATGCTCCTCCCCCCCAAGAAGCCTTTTGGATTGACTTGACGCAAGTTTGATATCCTTTGCTTTGTTAGCAGTATAGTTTTGCCGGCTTCTTCTAGCAGAGAATGAGGAAGATTGAGGAAACTACAAACAAAAAAAAAAAAAAAAAGTCGCCTTCTTCAGTAGGAAACTATAACATATTATCAACATTGCTTCTAGATCAACTCTAAATTGCTCTTTATCTCTTTTGGCAATGGTGTAGTATGTGCGAATAGACTAGCAATTAGAATCTCCCCCTCTCCATCCAATCTCTAACTGGTCCCTTCTGAATTCCCGTCCTTTTATGTAACCCCACAAGAAGAAAGAAACCCGCTTCACCATTCCTCCTCATTAAAACCAGAAACGAAGAAGAAGCTCAAAAATAAGTAAAGCAGAAACAAAGCACAAAATCCCATTTCATCTTACAATCGACTCCAGTAGAAACAAGTTTATTATAATCTCCTCAACGAAAGATTGTAACTTGCAAGAAAAATTTTCTTCTTGGGAACAGATCTCACAACAAAGGAGCTTCAGCAAGTGCTTATTTTCTTGTTCATATTCCAATCGTTTCCCTTTGCTGGTTTCACATTTCTAGATCGGGACAAACAAGAAACACGTACTCAATTTTCTGTGAAAAGCTGGAACAGCGGTCATTGTCTAAGCAGCCCAGGCTTGGAAATCAAAACTTGGAGAAATAAGAGACGGTCGTTTTATCGAAAAACAACAAACCTCAAACGAAACGGAATACGTACTCCCTTGTGTTTCAAGCATTGAGATATGGAAAGAATTAAAAGCTTGTTTTGAGACATACCCAATCGCATCTACTCGTTAGTGCTTAGTATTCTTTTTCTAAGTCCGATTATTATTTCCAAAGTTGACCAAAGGTGACACAACATCTTTCGGCTTTTGAAGAAAGACCTTCCTTTGTATTAATTGCAATTCAGAGCCACACCCCCCCCTCAATTTCCTCTACTCAAGGGAAGTCAAAAAAATTCAAACTTCAAAAAAAAGAAACAAACATTTTGGTCCATTCTTACCTTCCGCACGCTAAAACAAGAAGCACCACCACATACCGGGGTCAAGAAATTAAGTACCAAAGAGCAGATAAACTTGTTGGAAGGTGGAAGAATATTGACCCGAATAAGACCCACAAACTCAAGTCGCAGTCAATAGGCAGCAAACAAGCATAATTTTCACTCCCCAGGAAAGACAACACTACCGGTAAGTAACCGACCAATATACTCCACCCTACAATCTTAGAGCGACACACTTACCGACGGATAAAAATCAAGTAAGCAGAAACCAAGTTCAACTATTTTATTTTTCTGGCATTTTGTATGTATTCCTTCCATTGATACTGATATTATCTTGAATTCCCTTATTTTTACCCACCTGGATTTGAATCCAAACAAGTCAAATATTGAACCAGTTTGGTCCTGCATTGCGTGGAGAGAAAGTTTCCATCCAAGCCAGTTTGTGCATATTTTACCTTATTTTATTTTATTTTATTTTTTTGGCACAGGTTTTTTTTTTCATTTTTGTGTGCTGATTGAAAATTAAGCGAGAAATTTAGGGAGCCAAACGCAACTGCCCCTCATTTCCTCGTATAATTTAACCCTTGGTACATTTCCCTATAAAGCTTTTGACAAAACCCCAGCAATAAATACCCCCCCAAACACTTTTTGGTCGCCTATCACCTTCTGTTTGAACAACGTTCTTTTCATTTCCAGAATTGTTGAGTTTTTCCTTAGCAAAGTACATTCCTAACGTTTTTGTTTATCATTTGTCATTGAATCTTCACTTGCAGTTGGTGAGCAAACTATTTCAAACACTGTCAATCCCGTACTGTACATTCAAGTGCTGTCAATTTTACTGAACACATCACAATTATTCAAGACCATAAGCAACTGACCAAGAAGTAAAGTATGACCGCTACAAAGAAAGTGGATTCTCCTTCATATTACAAGACTTCTCACTCCAATGGGCATGTGCAACCGAGCCATGCAATATCCAAACCGGCCGCACAAACGTATCGCCAACAGGAGCAAAATGGGTATTTTAAAAGGCTGAGTTTCCCTTTAAAAACAGGAAACACAACCAAAAGTCGCCATCACGGGTACTCATCAAACCCACTGGAGGAAGACGAGGATGATAGCAGCACCAGTTCCCAACAACAGTCACAATCACAATCACAATCACAATCAAAACCACGACAAGATTTGATTGATTGCATTAATGAACATTTATTCGGCAAATCCTCATCTGATAATACCGGGGTTTGCAATTTTCCTGTAGGATTGAAAATCAAATTCAAAAACACAAGGGCTAAAGCTGAAGTTGAGCGCTTGGTTGCGCAATTTTCAAAGCTATCAATTACTGAAGGGGAAAGTGATTCAATGTACCCACACAAGCACTTTGTAATCAATTTCAAGTCAAAACCACAGGTTGAAGACTTGATGTATAAACTTTATGACAAAAAGATTGAGTTTGAGTTGGATTATTCAAAGTTTGTTTCCCATCCAGGGGTACTTTTCATCAAAAACTTGTCATGCGACTTGGTTTCTGGAGATAATGACTCCTTGTCTGATGTGTCGGTCGACACAAATTCAGATGACGGCTCAAAAAGGTTCCAAAAATTGCATCAGTTTTTGAGCGATAATTGCCACTTCAAATCATTGCAAGACATCAGATTGTTCCATAACGACTCTCAATCACACAGCTCCAACGATTCTAGAAACGGATCACCACATTCCACTTCAAGTCCAACCGCTTTCGCAATTGTCAAGTTTGCAAATTACTTGGATGTCGATATCTTGGTTGACAAACTCAGCAAGCACACACCAAATATCTTCAACGACAATCCAAATGTGCCCTTATTTGTCAATAGATACATCAATAAGCGGGAACGGTTGTCATTTGCTTCTGCATCAGGTGTGCCACATAACTTTATCTCCCGTCGCAGTAGCAGCACATCAATCACTGATGCGTCAATGTCAACATCGTCGTCAACTTCAGGATCAACCACTTCACTGTCTTCAAGGCATCATCACTCTGGCTCAGCGTCATCAAGAAACTCCAATGACAACTTTAGTTTAATCGTATTGGAAAATTTGATCAACTTCTTCCCTCCTGAATTCACCAAGGACAAATGCGATCAGTTTTTGAATAAGCTTAAAATGTTTGGCAATCCAATTGAGTCGATTTATATTCCCATCATTGACAATGGCGAAGACTTGAACACCTTGCACCCTCTTGACTTTGGATACATCAGGTTTAAAACGAATGCAAACTCTATGGAGAACACTTTTCGCATGTTGTATTATATGAATGATTTGCTGTGGGATGAAGTCATGGCTTTGGATATGAAGAACTTGGCACCATTGATGGAGGACGATAGTCACGATGGTACTTCTAGCGTTGGTAAATCTTCGAAGGGGAATGATAACGACGTCGACAAGAATGACGCTAGAGGAAAAGACTCAACCGTGACGGCCATTAACAGAAACTTGTTTGTCACAATTGCCCAGCACAAACACAACAATTACTTGTTTTCACAAGCAAGTCAATGTTATCTATCCTTCAATCCTAGTTTGTTGAATAAGAATCAGCTGCCCCTCGTAATAAACTACCCTAATCCGGTATATACCATCAATTCCTTCATCAGAAATGTCAACTACCAGGAAACAAATTTGTATGTCAATAATTTCTCGGCTGTATTCAACAACGATGATGCAACTTGGGAATCATTTTGGAAGCAGTTCGGCTTGATCAAGTCAGCCAAAATCATCAAACCACACTTTTACCAAGATGGAAATGCTATTGAAGGTGAGGAGCAAAAAGCTGGCCGTATTGGGTTTGTATTTTATGAGACGTTTAAGATGGCAATCAGGGCAATTTTGATGACAAACAATAAGCTTGTGCATGTGGACGGGTTCAACCCCATGGTTATTCAGTCTTCATTTGCAATTCAAAAGTCAAACTCCAACTACAAAGCGTACCATTTGCCACCAGCACCACCAATGGGTACACCGACTATGCCGTTGCCTCTTGATGTCCCCTTTAATGGAAATAAATCGTTGGGATGTGCTGCTGCTGCTGCTGCTGCTCATGCTGGCCCCGGAGGCGGTATGCAGTACTACACGTATCAACCAATAATGCCTTACTGCTATGCATATCATCCAAATCCATACCTCTATGGAGCCCAAGGTATGCTCAATGCTGCTGGTGTCACGCCTAATTTTGAACCGTCAATTTTGTCAGCTGATGGGAGGGTGCACGTTGGAGCTGGTCAGTCCAACGGGAACAAGTCAACTACAAGTCACGGGGATGATTAGCACCAGAGAGGTTGAATCTACGTCCACTGTTAGTTGAAATGAATAGTTTAAACAAATGTGTTGTATGTTTGTGTTTGTGCTTACTTCTTTTTCCTTTTAATCTCTATATACAATCGTAAACCACATCTACTCGTCAAGACCTTTATACAGAGCCTCTGCTTCGAGGAGAGATACTTGCCTCATTTGGTGCTTCAGCACTCTCAACTGCCTCTTCAATAGGTTCCACCGACTGGACTTCTTCAATATAATGCTTCAACATACTTTCTATGCCGTTTTTCAATGTGACTGAACTTGAATCACAGGTTCTGCATGCTCCTTTCAACTTGAGAAATACAGTCCCATCCGAGTCTCTAAAGTCCACAAACTCAATATCGCCTCCATCGTCCTGAATTGCTGGACGTATCCGTGTGAAGATCAACTCTTTGATCATTGACACAACCTCATCGTCATCTTCATTGAAGGCAACATCGCTCGCCAACTCTGCGTCCTCGCCATCAGTGTCAATAATGGGGGATCCATTAGTCAAATATTCAGTAAGGATGGAGAATATCTCCGGCTTCAACAACTGCCACTCGATATGGGGACTTTTCTCGATTGTTATAAAGTTTGAACCAAACATGATTGATCTGATCCCATCAACACTGAATAATTTCACCGCAAGGGGCGAAGAATGTGCCTCTCTCCCACTGAGATACTCACGAGTTTCATTCTCGCCTAGTATTTGCATAGATGGTAGGAATTTTAGTGCGTGATCATTGGGCGTATCCGACGTTTGTATGAATAAGTTGCGTAGACTCTGAAAAATGGGTGACGGTAAAAGTACTTGCTTTGTGGCGAGTCTGGGGTTATTGGATAGTAGTGCCGGAGAATACGAGTGAGCGCTTGCACGATATACAGTTCCTGCCAACAATTTGAACATCATGTTGACTGTTGAAAAGAGGTGTAGGCAAAAGAGTCGGAGAGTTGCACACTGCTGGATTTTTTGTTTTTTTTCTGTGATCTTCTTTCTAAATGATGACAAAAAGGTGCTACAGTCAGACTACATCAAGACGGAATCTACACGAGAAACATCTAGTGGTGTAGTTAAAGCTATCAGACAGTTAGCACTTTGCAATCTCAGGAAATGGTGGAGATCTATACACATTTGTGTCGGTGACAGGTACTGTGATTGTCATTCACTTTACTAACCGATACACTTAAAATAACACAATTCAACTCGTACCCCAAGTTCGGTTGTACCAATACACGTCTCAACTACTCTTGTCCTCAAACAAAATCTTCTCGAATATGGATGCCGCATTCTCCTCAAACTTACTACTGTCTGTGGCTTCGTTTGATGAAATGCTGTAGTCCAACTGCAACTTGTTTTCCGCAACCATCAAAATATTCGTCTCCACCGTCTTCTCAGTGATAAACTTGTACACTGTAACCTCCTTCGTTTGGCCAACTCTGTGAGCTCTGTCTTCCGCTTGTTTGTCGTCATGAGGATTGAACGATTGATCAAAGATTATGACATTGTTGGCAGCCACCAAATTGATGCCAAAACCACCGGCTTTTGTAGAAAGTAAGAAAATTGGGATTGTATCATCCTCGTAGTACATGTCGATTGTTTCTTGTCTCTCCTCAACCTTGGTACCACCATCGAGTCGGACAAATTTGTATTTGAAAATGGAAAGCACTTTCTCCAAAATGTTCAATACTTGAGTGAAAAGAGAGAATATCAAAACTTTTTCACCCTTGCTGTTGATGATTATGTCGAGGATCCTTTGTAGCTCAACAACTTTCCCACTATCCAAAAACGACGACTCGTCCAATTGCCACTTTTTCAACGTGTGTGGAAATTTTACACACAAGTTGTGCAACTCAAAATCAGACATAACCGTCATGTCCTCGTAAATGTATGTTTCGTTCGCCTCAACGTATTCAGGCTCATTCATGATTGCTTTTGCCATCGATTTGATCTTTTCATCGGTGTACCTCACGCGAAAGAGTAGTGGATGTAGTGCGGCCTTACGCAATTGCATCAAAACATTTGACGAGGTTGGGATGGGGTCTGTTTTGCTCAACTTGATTACCTCGGAGGGAGACAAATTTTTCCTTCGTATTCTCTCACTCCTTATTCTTCTACCGTCATTAAGAAACTTGTTGTACAATTCCGCTTGGTCGGAAGTCAACTTACAATGCACAATCTCGTGGCACTTGGCTGGTAAATGTTGCAACACTTGGTCTTTCCTTCTACGCAACACAAAGGGGGTCATCATCATCTTGGCATTTTTGATTGCTTGCATTGACAATAACGGATTGTACTCTTTCAAAGACGATTTTCCATTTTCAGAAACTCGACTTGCTTTTTGACGGAAAATCCCAACAAGATCCTCCCTCTTTTCATTGAAAACCTCAGGCAAGATAAATGATAGCAACGACACCAATTCCTTCAAGTTGTTCTGCAACGGAGTTCCTGTTAACAATAATCGAAACTGTCCCTTTAGTTTCATCAACTTGGTGTAACGTTCTGATTGTGAGTTTTTCAACAAATGCCCTTCGTCATATACAACAACATTGAAATTTTGATGCTTCAAAAACTTGGCATCTTGAGGAGACCCACACGCTAAGGAATAAGTGGTTACTAATACATCAAAATCAGCATCTTGCAACTCGTATCGTAATTCCTCTCTTTCACTTTGTGAACCGTAGTAAGCTTGAACTTTGATATCGGGACAGAATTTGTTGAACTCACGAATCCAATTTTCAATGGTGGAAGCAGGAACCACCACCAAATGAGGACCTTGTTCACCAGCTTGCTTTAAATGCGCCATAAACGCAATAACCTGACACGTTTTTCCTAAACCCATTTCATCGGCAAGAATGCAAGAAAGCTTGTGATGATAAAGCAAGTTAATCCAGTTGAGTCCTACTTGCTGATAATTGTTCAATGTGATCTGTTCGTCTAGTAACGCTGGCTTGTGTTTGATATATCTCAACCCTTTCTTCTTTACAACAACGACTTCGTCATCGTCGTCATCACCCTGTCCATCTTCTTCCTCAGTATCCTTTATCTCATCATCCAGAACAGGATCCAAATCAACCGTATCAAGTTCTCCATTTTCGCCCGTTTCCGAAACACCCCATTTCTTCATCTGTGAAGAGATTACGTCACCATACTCTGCACATTTCTTGACCAAGGAGTCTATTGCTTTGTAACCTTTCAAACTAGATTCAGTTTGTTCAATTATTCTCATTCCCATCTTTTTCTTTCGACTGTTCTTCTTGGATTCGTCTTGGCTGAAATCATTCTCTGATATATCGTAGATGGTTTGATACGGGCGAGACTTGATCACGAGTTCTGCAGTTTCTGGTTCAATATTTGATATATCAACCAAGTCCTCAATTGGTGCGTTGTTAATGAATTCAAGGATCTTGGCATCTATTGTGGTGAGCCCTTCCTCATCATTCATGTCTAGATCCTCGTCCGACATGGAGTCGCTAGCATCGTCATCTCCTAGTATATCCTCATCGTCACTTATTTCGATCGCATTTTGCTTGTTGCTTCCTCGAACTTGTTGGCGACTCAGTAACTGCTGCTTTCGAAGTTTGGCCAATTTAAGGTTTTCCGCAATTCTTCTCTCCAGCTCCTCCAATTCATCAACTTGAGAGGACGTCTCGCTGCTATGTAGGCTAGATGTGCTGTTGTTGTTATTGTCAAAGCTAAACTTGGCACTTAAGGAGCTTGGAGCTGGAACCGGAGACACCGATGCAGAACTGGGTGAATGTGACCTATCGAATAATGATCCCTTGACCAACTTCCGTTTCTTTGTCACATCATTTGATAAAGAGCCTAGTCTTCCAAATCTTTCGAGGGTGGTTTGTTTAGGACCTTGGCTTTTGTACTTGTTGAGTAATGATTGTCTTGTCTTGATTTCGACCTTCGTTGACAGCTGGTCGTCCTTGGACGGGGAGGTTGCCTCAATTTTCACGCGAGCTTTGCCCTTCATTTTAACTGGAGATTCGTCCTCGTCATCATATACTGTGCCAACTTTTTCACCTTGCTCTACTTGTTCACTCTTTTGGCCTAACCCTGCCTCGTACTCTCTTTTCAATCGATCTTCTCTAACCTTCTGTCTCATCGATTCCTCCTGTTTTAGTCTTGCTTCTCTCTCGGCTTTTTGTTTCTTCAAATAGTCACTATAACTATAATTATCTTCCAACCATTTAGTTACATCACGTACGATTCCCTTGCCTTTTACAAAACCTTTGAAAATATCACTCTCACTTAGGTAGTAAAATCTTTTCCTGATAAGAGGAAAATCCTTATGTTCACGAATCTTTTGACGTTTCTTTTCAATCTCAATCTGTTTCTGCTCGTCAATCTTGCTATTGAAACTTGGTTGCGCTGCACGTTCAACTTCATCAGATGGAGATGACTTTATAATTATTGGAGATGAGGATGGTACTTGAACGTAGTTTTCCTTTTGAGGAGTGGCGGAAACAGAGCCATTGCGAGTTCCATTAAACTTTTCTCCATTCGAGTTCCAGCTCATTTCGGCACCCTTGTTCTGCTAGCTAGCAAACTGGTGGTTGCAAATGACTACGATGTGTTGAAAGCAAGTCAAGAAGAAGAAGAAGAAGAAGAAGAAGAAGAAGAAGGTGAGAAGCGAAGAAAAAAAAAAGTTGCAGTCTGCTTCAGTGTGTGTGTGTGTGCTCTCGCGTTAAATTTTTTGTTTGCGTCGGGACGCGTTTCATCTGAACTGAGAGTGCTTTGTAATAGAGATTGTGTAGAGCTTACATTACAATAGCCATTCCAACAGGGCAATACTCTGCTATTCACACAAACTTTTCCGAATTCAAAACATAACTACATAAAAACTTTGTCAAATAAAGAGTAACTAAATACCCAACTCTTTG